ATCCTCTCTCGATGACATGGAATTTAAACATACTTAAATCATTATTTTATCCATCTACTATAGAAAAGATTTTATCCATCCTGCTCCCGTCCTACCCGCGAGATGATAAACTAATTTAACACTATGATAAATATGGAGAGTATACAGTTAAATCTGGTTATTATCTGCTTGTGTCTGAGCTAAACCCCCATCCCAATGATATTTCAGACTTTTTGGATACAAAATTCTGGAAGTGCTTGTGGAGTATCCCGGTGCTTCCCAAGATTAAATTCTTTTTGTGGAGGCGGATCCATGGTTTCCTTCTAGTTATAGGAATATTGCATTATAAAAAAGTTATTTCCTCCAATTCTTGTCTGGTATGTTGTGAGGAAATTGAAGATCCCAAATACTGGTTCTTTGATTGTAGAATAACCAGAGAATTGTGGAGAATAACAGGTTTAGATCATCTTCGAGATACGATGAAGAGAACCCCTTTGGATCTAGCTTGGAGAAACTTATTCTTTACCCCAAACATATCCAAGAGTGATGTTGCCTTCACAACATTCCTCTTTTGGAGAATATGGAAAGGCTGATGCAAGGCCACTTATGGACATATTTTATATCAAGTGTAGGTTCTGTACAGGAAACTAACAACTCATGTGGAGGAATGTGGTACGACAGAGGTACAAAAGGTTCAGAAGTCTCAAGGAGTGCAAAGGCCAATATCGCGTTCTTCCGCAAGACCAAGTTCTCAGGCTCGAGGATCAGACATAAGCTATCATAGTGAAGATATTTTGGTCCGCTTTGATGGGGCCACATAAAGCACAACAAGGTTGTGAAACTTGATTCGTCGGCTTCACAAATCCCCAACGGGTTTTCACTAATGCTACTTCAAGGAGGTCTTTACACTACAGAGCAGGAATTGTCGTAGAGGAAGTCCACTCTCTTTCCTCTTCCTTTGAGTCAGTCTCATGCCTTTTCGCTTCTCGGAGTTTCAACAGAGCTGCCCATTTCGTGGAAAAACAAGCTCTCTTATCGGGAGTCCACTTGCATACGGACTATCATTCTTTATTATTATCTATCTGTAATTTGTAGACTAGTCATGCCCTAGGGGCTTATCTTGGTAAAAAAATTTATTGGTTTACAAAAATTCGACACAAGCATAGTGTAAGGATGATAAATTCGGTGTTGTTGTTATTATTATTATTAAGTATGGTTGCATATAAGAAATCTCGTGTTCCATATCCAGCTCTTTTTTATTAATGAAACATAAGAGTCCTAATTTAGTCAATAACCTTCATACGATCTCATTCACATAGTGCATGGTAGTCATCAATCAAACACAAAATAATCAAATTTTGCAACCAACCCTTTACTCCGTCAAAATTATGAACCAAAAATCATATTAATTGCTGTTAAACTTTGTGGAATCTAGCAACTAATTAAGGATCGTTTGCTTCATGGATTTAAAAATGAGGGTATTATAATTTAAAAGAGGATTGTTATTCGTCGCCCTACTTTTTACTAATCATCGCCCTAAATTGATGTAAAAAGTCCTAAATACCCTTAATGAATATCATATTCTCATAACATAAATATCATATTCTTAGCGTAAATATCATATTTTCATACCAAGAATATGATATTTATTCATTAAAGGCACTGATAACTTTTTACATCAATTTATGATGATGATTAGTAAAAAGTAGGGTGACGAATAGAAAGCACATTTAAAAACTAAAGGATTTATCAAGAATTTGAGGGATCATGGATTTGTAACAATTCTTTGTTTGTTGAGATGTTTTATTATTGATGTAAGGATTTGGAATTTAGAAATAAAAGTCCAAAATTATCTTACTGTCATTTTCAATTTGTTTGTCATGTTTATGATGTACACAAACAAGGACAATACGCATTAATAAGCATAATGTTGTCACAAGAACAATAATAATAAACGGAAAATTTTTGTTTAACTTTTAACGTGACATATATCATTTATAAATTCGTTGTCCTCCTTTTCAAGAGTAACATATAGAAACATATATTAAACTTAGGAGAACAAATAATTTCACGTTACAATGAAATGGGAAACCAGAATACAAGAAATTACATAAAAAAATCTAACTCATACTTTCACTTTAATTGAATATTTATATTATTATTTTTTTGGTAGAATATTTGTATTTTTTTTTGTTAATTTATTGATTAATTATAATATAAAATAAGTAAATATGAGGACAACCTTGAAATATTCAAAGGTCGTGAGGGTATATAGGTAAAATTTAATCATGGATTTATGGCATGTTCCAAATCCCACATCAATATGTGGGATGTACAAGTCCGTGAGATCCACGGATTTGGACTCTTAAAATTCGTTGGCTTCACAAATTTGATTCCTAAAAAAATGCCAGTAAATGATGAATTTTGCTTAAATCCATGATAAATTGGATTTGGTAACCAAATCCACAAAACAAACAACCACTGAGTTCTCCTTCACACGCAAGTCAACATACAAATGGGAAAATAGACCACACGCAATTAAGCAATTGAAAATATGTACTTACCCGATAACTTATGCACTCTCAAGGCTCTTTGAAAGTGCATTTTCTTCACTTAATGCATGGAAATTATGCCTTTTGTGTTTGTTTGATATGTAAATTAACATTATGTGTTTTTTTTTTCATTAATGGAGGATGAAGCCAAGAAATGGAAGACAACAGGAGAGGGGAAGAGGAGAGGAACTAGATATCGGGGGCACCACAATCCGGTGCTCAAAAGAGATCCCCTGACTATCCTCCTGCAAGATTTTATAAAGCTTGATAGGAGGATTAATAAGTTCGTGCATATCGTAGGGATAGATGAAATTGTGATTCGAGAGCCAGTTCACGGCTCTATTTCCTTCCCGATATGTGGGAACAATGTTAATCAACCAATTCTGAGCTATACACCGCCAGATCGAAGTCAACAACGCAGCGTACAGGTGAATAGGATCTTGCCGATCCTTAATCAACCGGATAGCCTTCTACGAGTCCGATCATTATGTGTTATTATAACAAGTTATAATACACACATCATTGTGTAAAATATTAATGAAGCAATTTTGACAATGGGGTGGGTTGTGGGGTAATGAGTATGACAACAAAAGCAAACAATGTGGCATTTATGACCAACATGTGTACCTTTCTTTCAATGTCCTCCCTTTTACAAATAATTATAGTAAATTGCCGTCTCATTTGTTTAATTCCCCTTACAAAATACATTTTTATGAGAATCAATCAATTGTTGTACGTATAAAGTATGAACAAAGGGTTCAAATTTAATAATTTGGTCCATTATTGATAAAACCATGTTTGTTGTTGTTGGCTTTGGGATTGGAAGTAGTGATGGCAAAGGGCGGTCGGATAACTTATGCACCAAGCGTTAGTTGGGTAAGCCGATTCATTCTTATATGTTATTTGAAAACAAATACATGTAAAATTTTGATTTTTACGATAAAACAAAGGGAAAATACTTTATAAATGAGAAATAGTGATAATAGAATGGATAATTGTGTCTAACTAGTTAAATAATCAAATCCAACTAGTTGAAAAAGGTAAAAATAGAAGAAATATGAATATATATTATAAGAAATTGAGATAGTTTGAGCCAAGAACGGGATAGGGAGAGGCGAAAGTAGATACCCAAGGTTGCCCCCAACTACTAAGAGTCGGGTAATACCCGACGGGATGAGTTTAAATTGTCATCCATAATTGGAAGTTGTGAATGAGATGCATAATTGGTAGTTCATGGCATGTTTGGTATTAATGGGAAATCGGTCTTGTGACGGTTAAGGGAGTGTGCGGCTGCGGGTGGGATGTAGCTAGGGGTGTACATGGATCGGGTGGTATGGGTTTAACCATTTTAATCACCCGACCCATGCATTACGATTTGGGAAATATTAAACTTAAACTCACCCAAAAAAATTAAAACCCTATTGTTTGTTTCTAATTGAATTGGGTGGGGTTGGCGATATTTTTTAGGTAAAAATTCAACCAACACAAAATATATAATTATTCTATACCATAAAAATATTTTATAACTAATTAAAATTTCAAACGAATAAACCGAGGTGAAAGGTATCAAAATTCACAAATATTGTTTAAATTTTAATAAAATGTGATTTACTTCAACATATGTCTAGTTTTTTTTCGTGATATTTGTTAAAATAGGCTAAATATGTTATAAACGAACGCATCAATAATATGTTATTCTATTAAAATTGTACACAAGAAAAAAGATTACGTGAATCATAGCTATATTAAATCTATGTCTATATTTTAAGCCGAAAAATGCATTAGATTAGGGAGACCATGAGAGAAAAACATGGCAAAATATCTTAATTTTCTCATAAGTATGGTAATATACGAGATAAATATTTTTTGGGTACGAACTCATACCAATAGTTGGAACACGGGTTGGGTCGGGTTCTACGGGTTGTGTAATCCAAAATCCAAACTCAACCCAAAAGAGGCTGGCTGTACAAAAGAAAATCTTCACCCAATCACGAGTGGGTTGGATCGGGTTAGACGGATCGGTCGGTTTGCGGGTGTGTTAGTTCACCCCTAGATGTAAGGGTTGAGGGGGAGTGGTTTGCGTCAAGGGAGTTGGTTGGATTTATTTGTTCGATTTATCGGTTCAGTATTCACAATTTCGATTCAGTCGACACGATCCTGAATTCCGAATTAGGAGCTTTTCCCCTTTGAATGCCGATCTGAATAACATTAAATTTGGTTTTGAACGGTTCGGTTCGAAATGCAAACCCAATCCGGATGCTCACCCCTAGTCACAACTCACAATACTCCACCACCACCACCTCCATCTCCATGGCTCCCTAATTGGACAACAAATTTCAAGGCCCAGCTTGTCAAACCTGCTCCTTCAATTGTCTCCTGTCGGGCCTACGATCCATTGCGTCAATAGACTGGGCAGTCTTCGGCCCATATTCAAAGCCAGACTCGTGACATTTTGACTGTCCAGACTGTGGTTAGCACTTAGCTGTAGCCCCGAAGTGACGGCACTGGAACGAACGATCGCCTGATCGGAGATTTCAAGGACGGCGGAGTCAATGGCGTCGCTGCTTCCGGCCGTCATCCTCCTCCTCACGTTTGCAGCTGTTTCCGCCGTCGACGACAAGTGCGCCGCTTGCAATGCCGTCGCGGTACCTACCTTCTATTTTCCATTCCTGTTTCATTTCCTTTTCTCCGAATCCTCGCTTTAGATCTTCGATCACTCGAAGCAAATTACCGACGGTCAAATTCTGACGATGGTGGCGAAAAATGGGTTCTTTGTTGGCAGGCGGAGTTGGAGATTGGGCTGTCCAATGTAAGGATTCTGCTCAACTGCGTCTGTGAGACTGTGACTAATGTGTTTACAGAGTGTCCAATGTAAAATCTGTTTTGGGATTCTTCGTTTTGTTCGCATAGGAAAAGCCCAGGAACCATTTAGACATGAGGAATCGTTTGAACTCAAAAGGGCAACGTGAAGGAAAGGTAATTGATTACAGGTATTGCCCACAATGCATCTAGAACTATTATGTTTAGGAGATAATGCAGAATCATGTCCTCTGTAGAACTGAAGGATAAGCAAATGAAATAGAGGCTCAGAAGGTCAGATTTTGGTTGATCCATGCCTCTGCTTGATTCAAACTTGTTGAATTTTAAGAATGGTGTGCTATGTTTCAACAGAGTCAGTGAGCTGAGAGTTGTTGAGCTTTTGGATGGGCTTTGCGACAAGATGCAAGGTTATACACTTGAGAAGGTGAGATTTGGATTTTGGATGTGTCACGTGGATAGTTTATCTTTTTGTTCGTCTGCAGTTGCGAATCTGCATTAGTGAGGTTGTGATGAGTGAGCTAAGTTTTTGTTAATGTAATATCCGGTCTTGCAGATAGATTCAGGCAGACGGGAGTGGATCAAAGTAAATGATTGGGACACTTTGACGACGAGTAAGTAAATTATATTACACAGACGATGATAGGACCTTGGAAAGCCTGAAGAATTTTCTTTATTATGGTGATGGCCTTGTTGAATTCCAACCTTCTATCGCTTGCTCATTCACTGGCTGCAACAATTTTATGATTTTCTCAACACCTCTATGGCCTGTGCTATATTTTTTTCCTCAGACAAGCAAGAAGCTCGAGCGTATTCAAAACAGATGTCATCTTATTGTGGAAGGTAAGGTGAAACGCTGTACATCTTTTATTATATACTCTAGTCTAGTTTATGCTTGGTTTCATGTTTAGGAAGTTTAACCAGTTCTTCAAAAATGGGACAGGTTACTCGAGCAAACTGAAGATGAGGTAAGTCTTGACATTCTTAGGTCTCGAATTTTTTTAATCGAAATTGTCATTTAAATTTGCTTAAAACATTTCATGCTACTTTATGCTTATTACTGATACAGTTGACAGAGTTGATCAAGAAAGGATCGGTTACCGCAGGAGGAGTGAGCAAGGTTCTGTGCCAAGAGTTAAGCAAGCACTGCCAATCAAGGTAATCTCCAATTCCAGATCATTCTGTCATAACCCAATAAACCCACCTTAACAGCTGTGGGTTGCAAATAGTCTTTCTTCCGTTAATGGTACCTTAGGCAGGCGCAATACTTGTCAGTTTGTGTTTTGCATACCCTATCTCATTACTTTACTTAGAAGAGTCCGTCGAATTGTGGAGTCCTGGAGTTTAGAGCCAGCCTTAAAAGAATCTATACCCCTTGTCCACTTCGCAGAGTTAAGTTTTGGGGTCTTTTCTTTTGCTATCTCATCAGCATGAGACTCTTCCCACAAGTAGAAAGAATAAAGTTCTTGCTTTCCGCCTATCTCTTTCACTCTTTGGTTTTGCTTGGTGATTGTGATCCCACTATCCAAAAAGAGATACAGAATCTTCAGACTGCTAATTTCTTATAAAGAAAACGTTTCTCTCAATTTGCAGTGGTTCTCATCAGGCTGATGTTGATGGTCACGACGAAAATGAGGAGCTCTGAGTTTGTTTTGGGTCAATTAACACCAGAAGGACTATAGCTCGAGACGTGAAAGATATAGAAAGGCAACTTGGCAGAAGAAACTGACATTGGCTTGGCATGGTTGCCTTGTTCGCGAAGCTTAGATACCATCCATAGAGTTTGTAACTTGAAACAGAAATTCGGCTTCCCTGGCTCTCTTTTGTCCACTAATTTGTTTCAGCTGATGATTTGTCATACTTGAGCTTAATGCTTTCCTTAGTAGAGAACATGAAGTTGGATAATTATGACAACAGTACGGAATTCAACAGGTTGTCCTTTTGGATAAATTCTTCATTGGTCTTTTACTTTCTAGTTCCATTGAATTCTGGCCCTATTCATTTAGCCTACAGACTTGAAATGGTGAATATGTTCTACATTTTGCCAAGGGGATCCAAAACTGATTTAAGGACCAAACCAATGGACCAAAACTATCGGGACTAATTCTTTGAGAACAATGATCTATACAAAATCAGAAAAGAATAGACATGATCATTTAATTCAATGAACTCTCTAAAAAATTGTGATAGCATCATGTAATCAAAATAACAGTACAACATTTGAAGTAAAAAATGTAACAAAATGAGTTCCATGTTTATGTACAATGGATAAATCAAAAATTAAGGCAGCAGGCCAGCAAGCCATGCATCTCAGCCACTCAGAACAATGAACCATCTCCCAAATCGGTACAACATTTTTTAGCTTGCATCATAAGGTTCTGCATTTCCAAGGAACATGAACAAGGCTCTTCTCGATGATAGCGGGACATCAAGAATACGTCCTGTACAAAGGCCATTCATTCCCATCCTCCATCGCTCATGAGTTCTCATCAAGCACGCCCTTGAGCAAGTTCAAACCTTCGAGCGATATGCTCCTGCGAACTCTTGTCTGAGGGATCTCGATCCGAGGCGGTGGATCCTGGGAGAAGCAAACAACTATAACCGTCAAGTTATCGCATGTGTTTCGCTTCAGTGCTTCCCTGACCAACTCCCTTGAGCACCTCTCGGGGTCGTTGTGGAGCATGAGCTCTTTCCTTACTATCGTCACTGCACACTGGCTGCTCATCACGTCCCAAAGGCCATCACACCCCATTATTAAGAACTCGTCTTCCTCGGATAAGTTTGTTTCTTGCAACTCGGGCTCCGGGCTAAGGGGACATGCAGACCCCTTGGGACCCTTCATGTGCCAATCGCCTAGTGCACGGGAGACCGACAACTGGCCATTGAGGTAGCCGTCATAGATGACTCCCCCAAGCTTCTCAATTCTTAGCCTTTCAGAAGTGCTGTTCGGTTTGTGGTCTTTGGACATCTCGATTGCTCTGCCCCGTCGACCCAGCACTGCTCGACAATCCCCAGCATTGGCGATGATCAATGTCCTGCAATGATCAAGACTCATGATTAAGGCTTAATGAATCCCCAGCATTGGCAATGATCAATGTCCTGCATTGACATCTAGATTCCACAGGCTTATTAACATCAATGCAAAAGGAGTCGACAGATCAACATCCAAGTACTTGAATCGCCACTTGATCACAAACTCATCTTATATCCTATGAACTGATGAAAAACAGAACTATCAGGTACCGAAAGCTTTTCATTTTCTCCATTAACTTAATGAGAGAGCCAATCATCAGAATGGAGATCGACATCCAAGTACTTAGATCAAACTTTTCTATAGTCGGACCACTGACACAACAGGCATCAACGGATCAGCATCCAAGCAAGTTAATCATAACTCCTACTATCCTAGGAATATCAGAAAGGACAGGCAATCATAGTTCAATAGAAAAAGATAGCTTTTTCATAACAGGTAACGTGACGAACCAAGTCTCTCAGCTTCACTACCAGCATCCGAAACAGCATTTCTAACTGCCTTCATTTCGACCATCTTTCACTAGGACTATCAGACAACAGCAATAGAGAATTCGACATGAACAGCTAATGGACTTACCGGCCAAGCATAAGAGCAGTGAGAGCCGTGGTGCCAGACGAGATATCAAGAGAACTATCGTCTGCGAAAGCATAATCAGCTCTCACGAAAGCACTCTTGATTGCCTTCTCCACGCACATAGGAAACTGGAAGTCATCAACTATGTATCTCAATATGTTGTTCCTCACAAACAGAGCTGCATCCGTGCCTCCATGGCCATCAAACACCTAGTGAAAAGTACAAAACTTGACTACTGTCAACGGGAAATTTCATAACTGGGACTTTTCTGATGATCCAAGGAGATGACTATAACTATTACCAACCCCGTAGAAAGCTCCCATGGAGGAGAAGCTGGCAGTGGTTGAACCCAGATGTTGGTTGAGATCATCTATGCAGACATGCTCATCCTCCATGTACTGCTTGGGACCTTCCTCGGCGCAACTCCCTGATCGGAAGACCGGCAAAAAATCGGTCTTCTCATCGGACGGCGACTTATTGACGACAATCCCAACATCCATAGCCTGGAGAAGAAAAAGGGAAAAGGGGGATCGAAATTCCAAATCAATTAGGCTATCACAACAAGATCCAGAAACAACCACCGGTAAGCTGAGATGGAGGGAGGGAGAGTTTACCAGATCGGCGGCGGCGAGGAGCCTGGCTGATGGGATGGTGTGGCGGGGAGGCCTGCCATTAGGGATTTGCTTGACGCCGTCGGAATTCTCGTCGGCGGTGGGGGAGAGGTTTCTACTGGTATCCTTGTTAATACTGGAATTGTTGTATCCACCGCCGTCTAGCAGAGCAAAGGGAGGAGAGAAATCTGTGCCGGCAGCCATATTTACTCCCCGAACATACATAAACAGAGACACCCAAAACTTCTGCCGCTCTGATTCCCAACGATGGAAGCGAAAATGATGGGAAGGAATCAGAAATCGCGGGTGAGGAGAATTTGGGGGTTTCTGGAATCAGGGGAATCCGAGGAGGAGGATGATTATGATTGTGATTGTGGTGGCAAGCTTGTTTGCTTCTGCTGCTGCTTTCTTCTTCTTCTTCTTCTTCTTCTTCTTCTTCTTCTTGATGTTGTTGCAGAGGCGGTGATGGAGGTTTTGGCTATGGCGGCTTCCGTTTTTTCTTTTTCCTCTGATTTGTGTGTCAGATGATTCTGAGAGAGAGAGAGACGTCTGGGAGAGAGAAAGGGTGGAGGAAAGAATCAAAAGGGTTGGTTCGAGGGGAAGAAAAGATTTGTGATTTTAACAGTGGGAAGGGAAGGGAAGAGAAAGGAGGAAAGGGAAAGCGGGGAAATGATCGATGATGCAGAGAGAGAAAGAAACACGGGGAAGGAGGAAGAAGAGGAAGAAAGAAAGAAGGAAGAAAACAAACAAACAAAAAAATGGGAAGAGAGATGGAGATTGTTGGAAGTTTATATATATATAAAGTAAAATTGAAATATTATATCTTTTTCTTATGGTTTTTGAAAAAAATATTATGTTTACAATTATAAAATCAAAATATTCTATGGTTTGGACTTTGGAACTCAAAATTTTAATCACCTTACCAAAAACTAAAAACTCATAATTGAATGGAGGGGAGGAATGAGGACAAATTGTTCTTTTGCTTGTTAGATTTTAAAAATGAAGGTATGATAATTTTTATATAATTAAAGGTAAATATAATTTATTAATTAAATTTTCCTATTTTTTCAAATTATTAATCAAAATATAAAATGTTAGTAAAATGTTAAGTTTTTGTTCGCAGTTTTGTTAGTAATATTGACTGGGCAGCATGATACTAACTTGGAAGAGACACGTGATGGTTAAGTAGTCGACATTCCAAAATTTTAGTATTTTAACTAAAGAAGTTACAGACAACTTACTAATATTTTGATGTTATAAAAAATTTGGCTAATATTTTGTATTTCAAAAGATTTAGCTAATAATGAAAAGTTTGAAAAGATTTGGCTAATAAAGTGTTTTTACACTTATCTTTTCAAACTCTTTTTTGACATTTTTTTTATGGTTATGCTAAACCAACATCCTCTTTCACTCTCCTAGTGCTCTAAGAATCAATTCAGATCAGCACCCGAATATGTAGAACCACCAAACCAGTTACAATATCGGTTTAGTTTATTTGATAGCACGGCTAGGGATGACCAAATAGTTTTTGACGATTCAACATGAAACCAGAGGAACCATCAATTATAAATAAAAAAAGATGAACCATCCTGATTTGACTAGACCACTATTTGAACCTAAAAATAATAATTTAACATAGACTAAGATAATCAAACCTTAATTATTATTTTTATTTATGCTCCATTTTTGTTTTTCAACCTCGCCAGCTTCACGTGGTCCACTGTGAATTTTCACTCTAAATACCAACTTGGATTTATTTGGAAAAATATTATGATTGTTTTTGTGAGATAGTTTGAATTATTTGTTAGAATTTTTTTATGATGGATGATATGAATTTGAAATTGCTTATGGCTAGTGATAAATTCATTAATAAACTAGTGTATTATAATTTATATATGTCTTTTATATTATAGCACGTGAACGGTTAACCAATGATTCTATAACGGCTAACCACTGAACCACAAAACAATAATTTTTCCCCTTCAACATCCAAATATATAAACTTAATCTAACAGATAACGTCAACGTATAAACAATTGTACTTTATCTAAGAAATAACACCAATATTCAAATTCAAAATGATTATGTTTTGGGATGCACAATTGTAATCTAAAAACGCTCTCCCTTCTCTCTTCTTTCTCACTCCTCCTGACCTAGATCGGGTTTTCGCGGAGGCGGCGGCATGGCCTCGCCGGAGCCTCTCAATTGGGCTCATCTCTTTGGTGTGGGTGAGGGTAACCGGCTCTGCTACGTTGCGCCGACTCTGGTGGATGGGGAGCTTGTTATTCCTCGGGCGGTTCGAGAAGAAGGTGAAGTCAGATGGAGAAATCCGCTGGTAGGTCAGTTCCTCACAGCAACGCCCCCGATTGTGGTGATTCGACGATGGGCTCAGCGGTATTGGGGACGAGATGGACGTGTGTTTGTTTCAGGGTTTGGGTCTAACATGTTTCTGTTCCAATTTGAAAGTGAAGAATCGAGTAGGTGGGTGTTTGAGAATGGTCCGTGGCACTGTGAGAATGTGCCCTTGTTTTTTCGCAAATGGGTACAGGGGATTCAATCAGTTAAGTTGGATTGTTCGAGATTGCCGATTTGGGTGCGAGTTCGGGAGTTACCGTTGGAGTACATGACGGCGGAAGGTTTGAATAGAGTTGCGAGCTTGCTGGGTACACCGTTGTGGATGGACCAGGCAACCAAGCTTGGAGCTCATATGGGGACGGCTAAGATGTGCATTGAGATGTCTGCTGGTTCACTTTTTCCAACAGAATTCGTCCAGAGGGGGAGGAGAGGATGCGGTTACTTGTTCAGTATCTCAGCCTTCCACCTCGTTGTGAGCAGTGTGCAAAGTTTGGGCATGTTATTGGTAAGGGCCTAGAATGTGGGAAGTCTGATGAAAGGCAGTTGGTGGTGGTTGAGGAGACAGTTGTGGTTAAGGATGACTCTGTTGATAAGGGTAAGGCAGCAGAGGATGAGAAGAAAGTGCAGTCTGAGGAAGTGGGTTCTGGTATTGAGAGTCCTAATGCATTGGAGAATCAAGGGGTAGTGGGGGATGCTGTTGCTGCCAGCTCTTCTACTCCCCAGAGGGAGGGTTTGATAGATGAAGATGGGTTTCAGCTGGTGGTGAGAAAGGGGAAGAATGTTTCTGGCCGTGATCAAAGTGGTAGTGTGAGAATTCCAGCCTCGGTGGCCAGTTCTCGTGTGCCGTTAAATCCCAAGAGTATAGACCTTGTGATTCCTGCCTCTCCAAAGAAGGGTGGAAGAACAGAAGGAAGAAATGAAGTTTCTCTGCTGGAATCTCAGGGGGTTCAATGCCCCTGAGAAACATAGATATGTGAAAAAACAGGTTTTGAAGTTGCAGGTAGAGTTTTTTGCTATTTTAGAAACACGAGTACTAAAGCATAATGCGACAGATATAAGGAATAAGACTTTTAGTGGTTGGAAGCATTTAGATAATTATAAGTATTCATCTTCTGGTCGTGTTTGGTTGTTCTGAAAATCTCATTTGGCTGTTAGTGAAGTGGGAATGGGTGAGCATTACATTAGTGTTCGTATCAAGTCTGGCACTGAATCTTGTCTTGCAACTGGAGTTTATAGCCCGAATAAAGTGCAGGATAGGGCAAAGTTGTATGATGAGCTGAGGCAATTGAGGTTAACAAGTGAGCCTGGAGTTTGGATGGGAGATTTCAATGCTATTGTGGAGGATAGTGAAGCCTCGAACAGGTCTGGTTTCAATCAGAGTATGGAGGATTTTCGGGGTTGGATACAGGATATGAAGCTTACAGATCATAGGACTCTGGGATCGTGGTATACTTGGTGGAACAAACAAGCTAGCAATCCTATTGCAAGGAGGATTGACAGGGTCTTGGTTACTGAGAAGTGGCTGGATAGTTTTCCGAATAGTTTAGTGCAGACCCTTGCCCCAGGGGTGTCAGATCACTGTGAACTACTTGTACAGACTGATTCTAAGGTTACTTCATTGCCAAAACCCTTAAAGTTCTTTCTATTTTGGAGACAATACCCTCAATTTGAAGAGTTATTGAAGGAGGCATGGCAGCTAGAGGTTACTGGAGAGCCATATTACATCATATATAGGAAACTGGATGAGCTTAAGCGTCGGCTTAAGAGCTTGAATATGACTGTCTACTCTAATCTGTCTGTTCGAACAAGGGAAGCAGAAGTGGTATTGGAGGAGTTGCAGAGTGATATGCTTTCTGATCCATCTGAAGCTATTATGCAGGCTGTATTGGAACAGGAAAGGAAGTGTAGGGACCTCCAGAGTGCTGAAGAATCTTTCTACAAGCAAAAGTCAAGAGTTCAGTGGATAACTAAAGGAGATGCTAATACTGGTTTTTCCATGGTATGGTAAAGACTAGGAATCATAAATTGACTATTCAGAAGTTGATTACAGAGGATGCGGAAGTAGTGAGTGATGTGAAGAGAATGAGTCAGGTTGCTGTTGATTTTTACAAGGGGCTGCTGGGCAGTGTAGATACTTTTGTTCAGCAGTTGCCTAGTGTGTTTTTTTAGGATCTATTAAGCCTGAAGCTCGCGAATGATGATGTTGCTTTGCTGACTGCTTCAGTTACTAGGGCAGAAATTAAAAAAGTCTTATGTGGGATGGGTAATGATAAAGCACCTGGTCCAAATGGGTACATAGTTGAATTTTTCAAACTGGATTAGGAAACAGTGGGGCCTGAGGTGGAGAATGTAGTGCTGGAGTTTTTTAGAACTGGAGTTATGCCAAGACAGGTAAATTCTACTGTTATCTCGCTTATTCCCAAGCTTCAGGTAGTTGAAAAAATGAAAGATTTTAGGCCTATATCTTGTTGCAATGTGATCTATAAGGGCATTTCAAAGATCTTATCAAATAGGTTGTCCTTGGTCTTGCCATTACTTATTAGCAGAAGTCAGTCTGCTTTTGTAAAAGGCAGGTCATTAGTGATAACATATTAATGACAACTGAGCTTGTAAAGGATTATCATAGGGGTCATATTTCTCCTAGGTGTGCACTTAAAATTGACCTAATGAAGGCTTTTGACTCGGTGGATTGGTTGTTTCTGTTTAAAGTAATGAGGGTTATGGGAATGCCAGATCAGTTTGTTAAGCTTGTTGAGTCTTGTGTTCAATCCCCTATGCTCTGTATTTCGTTTAATGGGGGATTATGTCGTTACTTCCCTACGGCCAAGGCTTGAGACAGGGGGACCCTCTCTCCCCCTATCTCTTCACGATTGCGATGTAAGTTTTTTCTTGTTTACTGGTTAGAGCTGTTAGAAGTGCCCAAATACCATTTCACCCTCGGTGTAAGAGTCTGGAAATAACACATCTCTGCTTTGCGGATGATTTGTTAGTTTTCTCTAATGGGTCACCAGAGGCATTATCTGGGATACAACTTTTGCTTACATAGTTTTATTCCATGTCTGTTTTGAAGTGAAATTCTCAAAAGTGTCAACTGTTTTGTGCTGGGTTGTCTCAGGAAGAAAAGCAAATATTATTTGATCAGTTTGGGTTCCCTTTAGGTGATTTACCTATCAGATACTTGGGTGTGCCACTCCTTTCTGGCAAACTGACATCTGTTGATAGTGACTGTGTTGTTGATAAAATTACTAAGAGGATCCAGACCTGGCAAGCCAGAACCCTGAGTTATGCAGGGAAGCTGCAGTTAATAGATTCAGTCATTACCAGTGTGTTTCAATACTGGATGTCAATTTTTTTGCTGCCCTTGA